ATTAGTGTATTTGGAGCCTTTTGCAAACACGTGCACGTGCTCAAAAAACACAGAAATTTGATAAAAATACATAGTTTTTATCGGATTTTTTGTATAAAACATATACTTACCACTAATAGTAACACATTGCAACTATAAAAAACATTAATCAAGTATTAATATTCGCAATATTCACCAAAAAAGTCTCCATCTGCATCTCCATCTCCATGTTCAAATCCCGATTTTTGCACAACGCACTTTTGCAACGAAATTTATTTAAAAATATTTATTGACTTATAAATGCTTTAATATATATCACTTAAAGTTTATTATAAAATTTACAATTTGTTAGTTTTAATCGATTAATATGTATCTTTATGATTGACCAGTAATTCGCGGATTACATCTTAACAAATCGATTTGTTCTTGTAAAGTGCATCTTGGTAAGTGCGCCCAAAACCAATATGGAAATCATTGATAATTAATCAATATGGAGATTAATCGAACCGGATAAAGTAGTTTTGCAGGATATTAATTTGTTTATAACAATAATTAAATATTTTACAAATATTGTATTTGTTTAAATAATAGATTTTAATTTTATATATGCATATATAGGCTATAACCATGCTTTCGTAGTAATTAATATTTATAATAATTAAAATTTGTTTCTAAAGGGTTTGCTAAAGGGTTTTGTGCTAAAATTGCAGTGTTACCATATTTAAAATTTGTTTATTAGGCCTAAATTAGCTAAACAAGTTTTTCAAAAAACTAGTGGGTGGGTGGCATCGTGCCTTAAGGCAAATTGCTGGAACTTCCCGTACCGTAACGAAATGTTCGAGGAATACTGAATGTTTTCAAATAGATTATTATTAATATATATATTGTAACATTGTCTAATATTTATAATAATTATATAAACTGAATTGCAAGTTGAAATTATTTGTTTAAAGTATATAAGAACTATAGTCAGAATTAAAAATAAAATCTGAATTATTTTCGATATACAAAAAATTAAAAAAATCTTAAATTTTTTTTCAAAATCAATTATGTTGTTAGTTAGAAAGTTCTTTGAATCATTCAATCGGACGCTTAGTTCTCTCAAAAACTGCCATTTTTTGGCTGCGCTGCCTTTGCCAAAAACTAATAACCACTTCTCCCAATCATTACTAATTGAATGTTTTTAGGTCATTCAAATCTGATGCTCCGTTCTCTCAAAAAGTCGATTTCTATTTTCTGCACTCTTTGCTCCGTATCCCCGAAACGGCTAGACCTGCTTTTGCCAAAAACTAATCAGCTCTTTTCCCTATCGATAGGAATCGAATGTTTTTTGAACCATTCAAATCGGTTGATCCGTGCGCCCGAAAACGTGACTGAAATTTGTATCCATACATACATACCCCCCCCACACCACCACATCCATTTTTTCTGAGGTATGCCAAAATGTTCAGAAACCTTCAAAACGTCGAGAAATGTAAAAATTTTCAATTCCGATTTTTGGCCCATTACAATAACTTACCCTACGGGAAGTTAAAATGTCGAATTGATAATATATATTTTAATAATGATTGTACACATAGATAAAAAAAAGAGTATATGATTGTGTATGTTTAAATTAGTGATTTACCAATTCTAATCATTCAAATCAAGCTCCTGCTAACAACCTGATTCGAATCAAGTGAGTTTCATACGATCGTATGAAACCGTAAAACATCAACAAAAAATGTTGAATTGATAAATATATATTTTAATGATGATGATATTTGTTCAAATTAGTGATTTGCCAATTCGAATCATTCGAATCAAGCTCCTAACAACCTGATTCGAATCACATTCTACTTCATTCGAATCAACTGAGTTACGATCGAATCAACTGAGTTCCATACGATCGTATGAAACCGTAAAACATTAACGAAAAAAAGTCGAATTGATAAATATATATTTCAATTATGATGGTATATTTTTAAATAAGTGATGTGCCAACTCGAATCATTCGAATCAAGCTCCTCAACAACCTGATTCGAATCGCATATTCTACATCATTTGAATCAACTCGTATGAAACCGTAAAATATTAACGAAAAAAAGTCGAATTGATAAATATATATTTTAATCATAGATAAAATATTAATAAATAGATAATTATTTTTAAATAAGTGATGTGCTAACTCGAATCATTCGAATCAAGCTCCTAACAACCTGATTCGAATCACATTATACTTCATTCAAATCATAGATAAAAGAAGAGGATTCGAATCAACTCGCATGGAACCGAAAAATATTAACTATATACAATTTGTAAACATATATTGTAATCATATAAGAGCATAAATTTTGATAAACATAAAAATATGTCAATAAATATAAAAAATAAATTACATCATGCGAGCCATCCGAATTCAACCGAATCCGGTTGATCCGAATTGAATCATTCGAGTTTCTCACTTGATCCGAATCAATCGGCGGTTACTCGAATGATCCAAATTATATTTTTAAATTAATGATGTGCCAACTCGAATCATTTGAATTAGTCTTCTTTTATCTATAATTTGAATCAAGACCCTAACAACCTAGGTTGAAGAATCAGCTGATTCGAATCAACTCGTATGAAACCGAAAAATATTAACTGTAATCATATGTTGTATTCATATAAGAACATAGTTTTTAATAAATATAAAAAATTTAAATAAATGTAATATAACAAAATGATTTAAATCAAGCGAGCCATCCGAATTCAACCGAATCCGGCTGATCCGAATTGAATCATTCGAGTTTCAAACTTGATCCAAATCATTCGACGGTTACTCGAATGATCCGAATCATATCCGAATTATATTTTTATATTAGTGATATGCTAACTTGAATCATTTGAATCAAGCCCTTAACAACGTGATTCGAATCACATCATACTTGATTCGAATCAACTCTCTTATGAAACCGAAAAATATTAACTATAATGCAATATGTAAACATATATATTGTATTCATATAAGAACATAAATTTTAATAAACATAAAAAATAATGTCAATAAATATAAAGAATGAATTAAATCATGCGAGCCACCAGAATTGATTAAACAACCGAATCTGATTGACCCGAGTTCGGATTGAATCATTCAATTTTATCACTTGATCTGAATTATTCGAGTTACTCGAATGATCCAAATTATATTTTTATATTAGAATGATGTGCCAACTTGAATCATTTGAATCAAGCCTCTAACAACCCGATTCGAATCACATCATACTTGATTCAAATCAACTCGTATGTAATCAAAAAATATTTACTATATGTTGTATTCATATAAGAACATAGTTTTTAATATATATGAAAAAAATTCGACAAATATGATAATGCATTAAATCAAGCGAGCCAACCAAATTCAACTGAATCCGATTGATCCAAATTGAATCATTCGAGTTTCTCACATACTTGATCCAAATCATTCAAGTAACTCAATAAATAGTATTAATTATTTTGTTCTAAATATTTAAATATTGCCTAAAACTTTTATTATAAAATAAATATGATAAATAAAGATTGTGTACGTTTAAATGATAAATTAAACAATTATTAATAAGTTCTATTACATGCTTTTATAGTTCCGTATTAATGAATAATTACTAACAAATCGCTTTACATTGCTTTAAATATTGCAAGTTTTATATATATTAAATATTTTACAATATTTAAAACATTAAAATTTGTTTGATTGATATTAATAAATATTTTAATAAGGATTTTATTTGTATAAATTATAAATAAATCAATCCTTCAATAGTATTTTAGTTTGTATAGAATAATAACTACAAACAAATAGAATTTATTAAGTGTTTTGTTCTAAATATCAAAATTGCCAAATTTAAACTATTATTTCATTTATAATAGTGAATATATATTTTAATAAAGATTGTCTTTGTTTAAATAATAAATTGAATAGTAATAAATAGATATTCATGCATTCATAGTTACGTTTAATAGTTGCTAACAAATGGAATTTGTATTTTTGCATTAAATATTGCATTGAACCATATTTATAAAATTTGTTTAAATATATATATTCTATTGAAGCTTGTATTTGTTTAAATAATAAATTAAACAAACATAATATAATATAGTATTTATATGGCCCTTATAGTTCAGTACTGATTAATAATTATTAACAAATCGAATTACTTTACATTGCTTTAATTATTGCAATGTTAGCTAGAAAATTATTTAAAACTTTGATAAATGTTTATAAATAATAAATTATTTAATAACAAATATTGATTGTGAATGAAATAAATTGTTGTAATGTCAGAGATTACATAAAAACAATAGGTAATTTAATTAATGAATTACTTAATAATTTCATTCATTAATTAATATTACATTTACGCATACTTTTTCCAAATTCAGATCCAAACGATTCAGAATAACAAAATTAGTCAGTAACTGCATTTTCTGGCAAAGATTGAAATAAATTGTGAGATAAAAGAGCATACAAAGAACTATAAGTAATTTAATTAACCAATTAATTACTTTTTAATTTTATTAATTATAATTAAATTTGTACATATTATTTCCAAGTTTAGTGTAAACGGCATTTTCTGGCAAAGATTGAAATAAATAGTAAGAATAAAGAGATTACAAAGAACTATAAGTAATTTAATTAACAAATTACTTATTAATTTAATTAATTATAACTAAATTTGCACATATTATTTTTAGTATCAAACAATCCAGAATAAAATGAAATTAGAAAACTGGATTTTCTGGCAAAAACATTTGTAATAATTAATGATGACACGAACAAACAATATTTGTAACACAACTTCCAAACATTATTCAGTTTGATATTACTTTACTTTTATATTTATGAATATAAAATGCATATATTTTTCTACAAAAGCCCCTGAAAGTCTTCAAGTTTAAAAAAACACTAAATATATTGTTAAAAATATATTTATTACAGATTGTTTATAAAACTACTGAACTAATTAACCTTAAGACTAACAATACAAATTAAAACATCGGGGGAACACACAAAATTATGATTACAAACTTGTTCTTAGCATCAGCGACTGTAACAATATATTATAAAAGCAATAATCTAGTCTTTGAAAAATCTTTATTTAAAATTATGATATAATTGAAGTACAGTTCTATATTAAAATTCCTCAACGTACAGAGCATCGACTTACAGCAATTCACTAACTATAAAACTTTAAACAAAAGGGCAGAGGGGGGCAGGCATTACATTTGAAATAACTATCTATTTTTATATATATCTAATATGCATATAAAATCGTCAATGCCCTATAAATTTCGAAAATTTATATTATATTATTATTATTATATTAATTGCCGAGTTTTTTTACTTTTATTAAACCATTACAGGAGCCCCTGGACCTCCTTTCTTGCCGATTAGAGATTTGTGGATGTGAGGAATGACACCACCTCCTGCTATTGTCGCTTTGATCAGGGAATCCAACTCTTCGTCACCACGGATGGCCAGTTGTAAATGTCTTGGGGTGATACGTTTTACCTAGAGGGTAATAGATAATTAGTAATGGTAGTAATTGACACATAATAATAAAAATAATAAATTGTAGTTGTAAATAGGATGTAAAAATTATAAAAATGGACCAAATTGACTAGAAAGCCAATCTAAACGAGTTACAAATACATATGTTTATACAAACTTAGGTTTATGCTTTCAGAAAAGTGCTCCAGCAAAGTTAGAAACAAAAACAATAATTATGACCACGATTTTTTAATAGAATACTATATTTATCATTGTGAGCAAAACTACAATATCTTAAATACATTATAAGAGCACAAGGAGCACCCTAAGTACGTATATACTAGATTATAAAGCCAAATTATGAAATAATTTGTGTTTTCAATATACAAGCACATTGTTTACATTTCCATGGATGTTGTAAAAATAAATTGAGCTTGTAAATGTGAAAATGAAACTGAGAGGACCCCCAAACATGAATATGAGATTGTGATTTAAACATCGATCACGATTTATATATGAAATTGTATGTATATAATAAATTTATCCTAAAAATGCTTGATGCATCTTCAAAGGTGATTATGAAAGGAAATTAGTATACATATGAGTTCTGTAATAGTGAAAATAAACTTGGAGTGCCCCCAAGCATGAATATGACTTTGTAATAAATATTGACCATGATTTATATTGGAAATAGTAAGTATATACTAAATTGAACATTGTAAACAAAATTAGAAGTATGAGTTTGTGGATGTAAAAATAAACTTGGAGAGGCCCCAAACATCAGTACGAGATTGTATAAACATAAATAACATAATGAACGTGATTTATATTTGAAATAGAAAGTATGCGCTTAATTTATGCTAAAAATGCTTGTTGTAAAAAGAAATTAGTATACACATGAGCTTGTAAATGTGTAAACAAACTTCGTGTGCCTCAAAACATGAATTTGAGGTTGTGGTAAACAAATAATAGCAACGATCATGTTTTATACTTAAAATAACAAGCATATACTAAATTTATGCTAAAAATGCTTGTTGGCACTTTCAGTGGACCTTGTAAACAAAAATAAGGAAGTATATAAGTTTGTAAATGTATAAATATACTTAGAGTGCCCCCAAACATGAATAAGAGGTTGTGGTAAACATAAATAACATGGACATGATTTATATTTGAAATAGTAAGAATGCACTTAATTTATGCTAAAAATGCTTGTTGTAAAAAGAAATTAGTATACACATGAGCTTGTAAATGTGAAAATAAACTTCGTGTGCCCCCAAACATGAATTTGAGGTTGTGATAAACAAATAATAGCAACAACCATTTTTTATACTTAAAATAACAAGCATATACTAAATTTATGCTAAAAATGCTTGTTGGCATCTTCAATGGACCTTGTAAACATTAAGAAGTATATAAGTTTGTAAATGTGAAAATAAACTTAAAGTGCCCCCAAGCATGAATAAGAGGTTGTGGTAAACATAAACAACATTATGGACAATGATTTATATTTGAAATAGTAAGTATATACTAAATTAATGCAAAAAATGCTTGTGGGCATCTAAAAGACACTACAATGGCCGAAGGAGCACCTCAAATGTGTAAACTAGGTTATAATCCGAATAATGAAATATTTTATGTTTTGAGCACTCAAAAGCATTGTTTATACTAAAATGGACGCCACAGGATGATTTTACAAGTGAATTCATCAAAATTGAGTGTGTAAACAAACAAGGAGTGCCCCCAAAACTTAGATATGAGGTTATGAATCACAATATCGATTTCTAACATATCACAAGCACTAACAAGTATTGTTTACAAGCTCGTAACCGTTTCTAACCCAGTTTACACTTGATTTATTACTATATTTGTTATTATTTACCTTCAAATCCTTAGAAGCGTTTCCCGCCAATTCCAAAACTTCAGCAGTCAAATATTCCAAAATAGCCGCCGAGTAAACAGCAGCCGTGGCCCCCACACGTCCATGACTTGTTGTTCTGTTCTTCAAATGCCGATGGATTCTTCCGACTGGAAATTGGAGCCCCGCTCGTGCTGAACGAGAAACCGCTTTCGCTTTAGCTTTTCCTGAATCTTTTCCAGCTTTACCACCAGCCATTGTTCGATATTAAGAAAGAACTGATTTTACAGAATTTAATTTAAATATTCAGGATATTTTTAAGTCTTTTGAGACGTGTATAAGCCGCGCTTTTGTAACTGATTGGGAAAGCGACGCGTTGCCCGCCAAATGTACGATTATTGTGAGGTAGGCAGCGACACCATGAGCCACGCGCGGGAACTAACATCGAGGGCGCGAATTATGAATTCAATTTTAGAAGTATTTATGTAAAAACATTATAACAATGTAATATATAAATAGAAATAAAAAATATATTCCAAATACTGCTCTAAATATATATTACTTTAATATTTTTAAATATATTAGTTGAACTCATAGATAAAAGATAAGTAAATGAAAGAAGAGTAGAATTAAATTCTTGCACTGACTGTACCTGTACACGAAATGGCGGCACTTTAGAATAAACCGCGACATTCAAATTTCAAACACGTTTGACCTAATTTTACGAAACCATTACAATATTAATTTATGAGTGATTTATAGGTACACGGAGTTGCTGTAAGTCTATATAAAAACTAATGCAGAATATACAATTTCAGAATGTGGAAGCAAAATTAAGAAATTGCCAAACCACATCATTAATGAAATTAACTTTATATAGAAATTGATATAAACTTGAAAGTATTTTTACTTTTATTTATGTGCATTCATGCTTATTTGAATGTTTTACCAACATCTACATTTTTTAAGTAAAATCAAATAAGACTTTCGATAAATATAAGATAATAAGACAAGACTTTCGATTTCTTAGTTTTGTATCTTAATTTATATAATAATAAATCCAAAAGTATATCAAAACATTCGTAAAACAAGTAAAATATCTTATACATTAAATTACATATATATTACAATTTAATTGTAAAATTAATAAAAATTTAGAGTTTGCTTTGGATGAACCGAATTGTATGCGTTTTCAAATTTTAAACCTGTTAAAACTTTATTTTATTATTATACAATAATAATTTCAGGTTTTTTCAAATTCTTCATATCAACTGATGATTTCATAAAATAATCTTTCTGTCCTAGTTTTTCAAAGGTTTATAAATATATTTCATTATAGATAAATATATTTTAGGTTCAGTTTGATAACTGAACTC